TGTAATGCAAGGCTTGACTTCAGTAAAAATTGGTTAAATAAAGCCCTTGCTACAAATATTACTTGCATTATAATATTTTTTTTAACTGCACTGCAGACAAGTGTTTTAATTAGTTCCCAAACAGTTTTGAGTAAAAAAGGGGGTTACATTTTCATAGAGTTTTTTTTTCCTATTGTCCTATAAATTGATCAGTGATTATAAGCAGAGTTCTAAACAACTCCCATCTCTATCAACTAGTACAAAGGCAAAGTTTGTGTCAACATACTTCTAAACTGGGTTAGAAAATGCAGATCCTAGTCCTGGTTTCCCTCACTTTCCTAATAGTGCGGGAAACAATTTTCAATTTGCAATTGAGCGATGAGTTTTGTATTGGTAAGAACAAGGGGTTATGAGTGGGCAGAGTTGTTTCATGGGCTGGCATGAAATCCACAAATTCAACAATAGTCGATTTTATTTTTCTGGCAACCTGATTAGAATGAGAGAAACAAAAACTATACTTACAGACTTCCCTACCAGCCAGTTTTTATCCCCCAAGAAAGTATCCAAATCTTTCAGTAGCTCGGGTGCTTTGTTGGTGAGGATATCATCAAATGCTTGTTTCTGGGGAAAGAATGAAACACAAAGGTGCACACCAATGGTAAGCACAGCAGTCAGCAAAACTGAATTTTTGGGGGTTTCTTACTTGTGAAAAAAGGTGAAACCTGAAAAATGTGACAGTGAAATCATTTGGTCTGACCTCAAACAGCAGAGTAGTCCCAGATCTCTTTGGAAGAAGGAATGTGTTAACATCCAAGTCAAGATGAACCCAGCAAACAGCAATTATTTAAGATAAGTAAAGAAATGCAGAGATGACTGTCATGTGAATGTATGCAAAGAGGCACTATAGAGTTTGGGAAAGCTGAGGTAGTTACCCATGAAGTGGGTTAGATGCCCGACGTAAGGCATTTGTGGGGCAGTGAGCCATGACTGACACCAGTTGCTCCCTCAGTGAACACCTGATTACTCCTGGATGCTGAGACACACATGTGGGGCGATGCTGCTCGCTGTGCTAACAGCCACCCAGCCGTGGCCGTAGATTTGGGAAGAATCCATCTATAAAATATATTCCTAATGTCTCACAATCATTTTTTTGGGACTCTTTTGGGTGTTATTTTTTATAGTATACGGGGTCTCAAATTCCCAGAATCCCTTAAGCTCATTCTTCCCGTGCTGTCAGCCAGATGCAGGTCAGTTATCTTTCCTTGCCAGCCTGTCTCGTGTGAGATGTGGAACCTGGGTTTTGAGCTTTTGTTGGGTTTGTCTTTGAATTTCTGTGCTATCAGGTCATTCTGCTTTTTTGTCTCTGCAGCAATGAGCCTCGAGGTGTTTAAAATGTGTTTTTAAAGGCTGAACTCTGCATTGAAGGGTGTGGACCCCAGTATTTGTGTGTGAATGGCTGAAGGATGAGGCTATGTATGGTGGTGGTTCTCCACTGGCTGTTTCCCCCAGCAGAAAGTTTTCAGGCTGCTTTTAAAGGGTTAGGTGTTTCCTTTGGAGAGGGAAACTGTTTTTGGTGTTCTGTTCTCACCTGTGTGAAATAAATGGCGATGACAGACTGTTGTGGTCATCTGGTCTGACCCACCTGGCACAGTTTGTGCAGTTCGTGTGCCTGGCCTGATTTTGGAGGAACATATTCAGGCTTGGTGAAATAAGCACTGCTGTACAGAAATGGAATTATTTCAACAGCTTTGAAATTCACATTAATGAAAAAAAGAATAAAATGTCGAAGAGGCAGCAGCCTAAATGGTCCCCAAAAATGCGGGCTGAAATAGAATCCGTATTTCTGCAGATGCGTTTGAAGAGTTGACATAATTTTATGCTGCCTGTTAAAGGCTTAGTAATGGAATGTGATGACTGCAAGTAACAGAAGTTTGCAGTCCAGAAATCTCATATTTGTCCCTTGTTTTCTGACTTTACTGTGTGTAAATCACTTAAACCTGGCCTTGTGAGACCGTGAGATGCCACTTCCACCACAAGGTGGCGGCAGAGGACCCAGGAGGAGGGAGGGAGAACAGCTAATAGTCAGAAAAATTCCCAGAAAGTAAGTTTCTTGATCTTCCTTGGCCCAAAAGCACTCCCTTGCATGCATACCTGCGTACAGGCATATAGGGGTTTCCTGTGAACTCTCTTCCCTTTGGAATTAATCACTGGTGACGTGACCTGGGTCCTTATTTTGGAGAAGTGCTTGAGTACGAGCTGGGACACACGCGGGCATTACCGTGACTGATGCACTACCTTTGCTTAAATCAGTGATTTGATAAACCTTTGTTTAAATCAGTGATTGCCTTACTCTCACGTCCTGGTTTTTCTCTGCCCAAGGCAACTGTGTGATGAAATCATCAATGGTGTCCACGATGGCATCAGCTAGCGCCTGTTCCACAGGCGTCTGACCTGCCAGACCTGTGGGGAGCAAACATATGAAGAGAGGTTAGAGACAGCATCAGCTTTGGAATTTCTGGTGCTCCGAAGGTAAACTCTGTTGTTTGTGACCATTTCCATGTGCTTTCCAGCACTTTTTTGATGCCAGCAACATGAATTTGACTCCTTGCATCCAGATGCAATTTCATCTACCTTTGCTTTTTTCCCTGTCCAGCTTCATACAGCCATCTGAGGTAGCGAGTTGTTCTTTCCATCATCTGCGCCCATGACCTGACTGCTGCTGCTTTATCCTCTCTCTGCCTTCCACTGTCCCAGGACATCCAGTGACGATCAGCACTAATTCCTTTCTGTTAATCTTTCCCTGTCCGAGCTTTCAGTGGATTTCTCCATCTTCTGGTCTTTCCATCTTTCTGTACAACCATCGAAAGCCTTTCTGTGAAAGTCTGCTTCTTTCCCTCTGTCCTGCCCATTCAGCCCCATTTCGAACCTTCTCATGACACCCTGCTTGCTTTTGATTACTTCATGATAATCAGGCACCTTAGCCAAACTTTCTCCTGTTTCCAAATCTGCTTTCCTCGCCTGCTGTCCTTTGGCTTGCCTGCAGTCTTCTCAGTGCTACTGCTTTTTTCCCTCACTCTTGTTCCACAGACCAGCCCTCGTGCTTTCATCTCTGTGCAGGTTCGGATCATCCTTTTTGTCCTCTCTCAGTTCTTTAAGCCTCACCCAGAAGCTCTTTGGCTCCAATAAACCATATGTCTTTCCTCTGCCAGTCATCTCCCTTACTGGAACTTTATGTTTTTGTACCCATGTTTTGGGTACCCATGTTTTATGCCCATGTTTTGGGCACCACGTTCTGTGAGCCTTCAGTAAAGAGCTGCTAGTGACAGGCACCTAAAAATGCCATTTCTTAATTTTAAAGGCTTAGTGACACATCTAACAGACTTAACAGCAGGAGTAGCAAGTTTTCACTATGAATTTGAATATATTTTTTCTTTCCCCTTCCACGCATGTTTTTTTCCCCTGCTGCAGCTGGCAGTGTGATTAACACCAAAAGGAGAACGAACGGTCTGCATGTGCTAGGATTTGCCAGAACCCCAGCCTTTGTGGCTGTTGCAAGCTGGTGGAAAAGGTGTTGTGGGAATGCCTGTGTCAGAAATTCAGACTGTAAAAGGAGCAGAGCTCCAGATCAGCCTCCCGATAGCAGGCGGGGAGGGAGGCAGCATGGGTGGAAGGCAGGCTTTCCCGTCGGTTTTCATTACCAGGTGGACGCTCGTCATTCTCTTCTCTTGCAAGTAGTAGATTGTATCGAGGATGGAGGAGGTTGGCAGGGGCACAGTATCACAGACATGTTTGAAAATACATTGTACTAGTGCCTTGGAGAATAAGGTTCTGCACTTCTGCCTGTTTCCTTGGTTGGAAAATGTGAGGGATTTGGAAAGGCAGGTTATATCTCTTTGCTCAGAATGTTAAAAAATAAGATAGTACTCACTTCCCAGCCCCCCTCTTCAACTTGCTGGTGTTCAGAACACCACAAACCAGCCCGGTTTTGCAGATGGTTTTGAGTGGCAGCTTGCTGACCTAAAGCAAGCCCTGACTACTCTCTTTGATTACTTGCATTACTAAGTCGTATATCACTTAATCTAACCGGTTGAGTACTTCCATAAAGTGTAAGTATTTAAAGATGCAAGTGATGTCACCATCTGATCTAATCTCTCTGCCAGCTCAGAACTGTTGCCCAAATCAGCTTCAGAGTGCTCTGCCTGCTGACTGTGATAATCTCTAATGCTTCCAAAACCTCCTCCTCCTGGTCATCCCTCTGGTTAGTCTGGCAGCTCCAGGGAAACTGCCCTGAGAGCCTTAGGGAAGCCACAGGTACACGCTTTCTGTCTCATATAGAACCACGGAATGGTTTGAGTTGGAAGGGACTTTAAAGACTATCCGGTTCCAACCCCCTGCCACGGGCAAGGACACCTCCCACTAGCCCAGGTTGCCCAAGGCCTCATCCAGCCTGGCCTTGAACACCTCCAGGGATGGGGCATCCACAGGTCCTCTGGGCAACCTGGGCCACTGCCTCACCACCCTCACAGGAAAACATTTCTTCCTAATATCTAAATATATTTATTTATATATTTATATAGTGACAGGTGAATAAAATTTATTGTCTGGACAAGTCAGCCTAAACCCCAGGTATCGCATGCAGAGGGGAAATTCAATCAGACGTAAGTTTGCTGAGTTTTTCTTTAGACTTACAACCTTAGAGTGCAAATACAGAGCTCAGCCACATCACTTCAGCTTTGAGCATCGTAGCATTTCATGCTACAGGTTGTTACTTTAAACCTTTTTTTTTTGGTCTGTTTTTTCACTTTCTACATGACATTTGAGTGACTCCAGACCCTGTCGTACAGCGTCCTAGCACATGTACCTTGCTCTGTTTCTTCTTTCTCATCTTGGAACTGCAGGGGATATAGCCTGAGATCTCATCAGGACTGCTACAGCAGCCACACCCCCTTGAGCAAAATTGGCACCAAATTATGGTAAGGCAGGGTGCTGAACACAGGCATGTCACCGCGCAGTGGTCCTCAGTGCTTTTTAAACCATTGCTCTTTGAGTGGCACCTCTGATATCATCCTATATGGTACGCTGCGTTTCTGCAGTCAGCACTTGGCGCTGCCAAACTGCCGATGCAATGAGAGAATGATAACTATGAGCTGTTTGTGCCTGGGAAAAACCACTCTTACCAGTATTGCCGTGCTGGTGTTGACTTCTGCTTGACTGGGCTTACCAAGCTGTTGGTGTGTTTCTGTTTTTGCTGTGGGTGTATTTTTCCTGAGCGTTAAAGATGGGTGCAGAACAGAGCAAGAAAATAGCAAATATGTGTTACCTGATTCTTTGGCGAGGTATCTCGCGATTGCCAGGCTCTGGTGAACGGTAACTCCGTCTACTTCCAGAACGGGGAGTTTGCCAAATGGGATAGCTTGGAGGAGAAAGAAAAAAAAAGGAAAAAAAAAAGTCAAAATGTTGAATTATAGCCCTTAACAGTGGGAGTGCGTAATAGTCGCACTTTTACCCCTCAGAGGGTATGCATTGTTATACCACTTAAGAGTTTAACAGTATTTCTCTAGGGAAATACATGGTCTTTAAAAAAAAAAAATAAAGTATTGTTAAGGATACAACCTGATTGTACTGCAAGAAGGCAACTGAAGTGCAGAAACCAGGTATTGCATTTCCTATTTCCTAGCTTTGTGCTGTAAAGGCTGAATGTGCTTCTACATATCCTGAATTCTTTACACAGGGAAAATTTTCATAGGAATCTTGTTTTTTTCCTTCTCTTCCCTGCTTTTTCCTCCCCAGGAGAGTGACTACCAATGTTAAACAAAGTACTACTGAAGATTTCGTGATGCAGGATCCAGCTGGGGTATGAAGTAAGAGATTGGGTAAAGACTACAAAGGTGCTTTTTCATTAGGGATATACTACAGGCCACCTGAT